CCGTACTGATGTCACCAAATCCCTGACATCACGACGACAGTTTATATTTGACAAGATTGCATAATTGATAGATATTGCGTTGGGTAAGATGTATCGAACTCTGGAGCATATACATCTCATCTCGTGTACTTCCGGTCCACTCCACCATGACGTCCAATAGCGGCCTAAACGCACAACGACAACAAGATGGTATCGCGATATCACCACAACCGCGGCGTGAATCCACAACCTCAATCGTTATCAAAAAATTCTCGCCGATTTGGTAACCCATTCCCCTTTAAACCTCCCCTCAGTCCCCCGCTCCTAATATAACACACACTTACGAACAAGAAAAGGTTCACAATATCAATGGATACCGGCATCCTCTCCATAATCCTGTACCTACTCCCCTACCAATTCCGTGGCCTTGGCATCTTATCCACGATAATGTTCACCTTCAACATACTTCTCTTCGCGCTCTTCAGTCTCCTCAGTATCCTGCGCCTGCTCAAACACGCCTCCCACATCCGGGCGCAAATCCTCTCCAACACGGACGAACTATGCTACCTAGCCGCCCCAGCCATCGCATACCTAACCATCGTCGCGCAGGTCAGTTTAACATGCTCGCAGGCGTGGGGGTACAGCTGGACGATAGTAGCATATGTACTTTGGTGGATCGGCCTAGCTTGGACACTACCACTGTGCTCATTCCACATTATCATTTTAGCTAAACATGAGATTATAACAGCAGAGCGCGAAAAAGCAAGTCCAACGATGCTCCTTCCGCTCATCAGCGTAATGACGCTCGGCACAACGGGCGGGCTCATCTGCGAACACTCGACCGCCATCTCGGCGGCCATGGCCGTGCCTGTGATAGTGGTGGGCTTTGTAGCAATCGGCTACGCAATGTTCCTGAGCTTGGTGTTTTATGCGGTTTTGCTGCATAAACTGATCGCTGTTGGTCTACCGCCTTCGGCTAAATTGCCGTCTTTGGTCATCACGGTAGGCCCCATGGGCCAGTTTGCTACTGCTATTCAAGTGCTAAGTTCGGCGGCGAGTTCGCGGGGGTTGTTTGCGGCGTATGGCGAAGGGGCGTGGTTACAATCCAGCGCAGCCAGGAGTGTATCCGCTGCCGCCGTGTTGGTTGCATTGCTGACGTTGGGGTTTGGGGTACTGTAGATAAGCGTGGCGTGGTATTTTGTGCTTGAGGGCATGGTGAAGAAAAGGGTGCCGTTTAGTTTGGCGTGGTGGGGGATGATTTTTCCTATGGGTAAAGTCCTTTTCTTACACTTCCTCCTACCCCACCCCCCCTTTTCCCCCTCTCTAGTCCGTCTGGGCTCTGCTGACACGTCTGGGTGTGTTCACGACTGCGCTTCTCAACCTCGGCATCAGCCTCAATTCACCTGCTTTCCGGGGCCTCACTACCGCCCTCCTCATCTTGATGCTGATAGTGTATTTTGTCAACTGGGGCGGAACACTATATCGTTTGTACACAAAGCAGGCGCTGGGTGTGCCGCAGCAAAGAGAGAAAGAAGATCAGCAGGCTCGGGAGAAGAAGGGGACGCTGGATCGATATTTAGTGAAGAACGATGTGAGTGGGAGCGATGTATAACTCTGGTAGTACAATATAGCCAGCGAGCTATACACAGCAGCATCTCATCATGCTAGCTCTTTCCCGAATTCTTGATTCAAACCAAGGTTCAACGCCTTGAACGCCGTGGCTAATCTTCAAAATATACCCCCGAACAAGCAATGCGGCAAGCAGCAAAGCTCGGCTGTTTTCTTCAAAGCCCTATTTAATCAAACGCGCTCAAATCCAAAGGGACACTGCTCCCTCGTCCCGCACGATATCTCTTAGGTCCGTTGCTGAATTCTCTAGGGCGCGGGAACTGTGCTTCATCTTGGAATCTCCACCGCAAATCATGGATCGGCATAACCTTTCCTTTCTGTCCTGTTCCGCTGCCCATGCTAGGATTTGCCGGACTCTTCACGCCCGACCCGCCGTTCGTCAGAGTATACGAACTCGGATCGAGCATTGACCGTAGCGGTGTTTGCGACGCTGGGCGACTCAGCGCGGGACTTGGTGGAGGAGGTGGTGCGGGCGCGGATGCAGGAGGCGGTGGAGGAGGTGCGGCAGGCGATGCGCGGCCAAATGCATTGCGAGCGGCTTGTTCTGCAAGTGATGGTGCATGGCCATTCAGCGGGGGAGCCTTCGGAGGCGGAGACGCGGAATATTTATAGGGGTCGTACTCATCATCGTCGTATTGCCCGTTCAATGGTGGGGGTGCGGAGGGTGGTGGAGGTGGAGGTAGTGTCGATCGTACGGGTGCTCGCGGAGCTGCGGAGGGTGGCAGTGGAGGCGCTGGCGGGACTCCACCAGGACGAGGCGGTGGTGCGGAAGGAGTCGAAGATGGCGGCGGCGGTGGAGGCGCAGGTGGAGCACCTCCTGGTACTGGGGGAGCTCGAGCTGCAGATAACGGGGGTGGAGGCGCGAGTCCAGATGGCTTTCGGGAGGACGGGGGTGGCATGGGCGGCTTCTTGCCGATTGGAGGGGGTGGCTTTGGCTTCATGCTTATACTCGAGGCTACCGAAGACGGTCTCGAGTCCATCAATCCCCCGCGGATGGGGTGGAGGGGTGGTCGCCCGCCTGGGATCGGTGGTGCTGGGGGAGCGCCCGGCGGTTTCGGTGCTGCTCCTCGCGGCGGTCTAGGCACCGAGCTTCGCGATGTTTCGGGATCCGAGAGATATGGCGTGCTGCTTTGCTCTGCGCCAGTCTTCACCCCACCAGATTTCCGCAGCTTCGGCATGCCTCCCGCGAATAGCCCTCCCAGCTGCGGCGGCGCGGCCATTGCATTCTCTCCGCCTGCTGTGTCGCTATTGCTCCGTGCTCTGTTTCCTCCTCCGGGCACCGGCGGCGCAAGTCCAGGTACTGCAGGCGGCTTCCCCATTCCAGGAATGGCCGGTGCGCCCATAGGTGCGCCACTTGGGGCGTCGTTGACTTTGCCAACTATCGGGGATGATCGGTCGTTGATTTGTGTGACCTTCTTCAACCTTGCGCCTTTGCTGATATCCCCTAACAGTGCTCCCTGTGACTATTAGCTCGAGCTCAGGTAGTCCTCATCTCCCGGTCACAGCAGTCTGTTTGCTTTAGCGGTGTGAATGCAACCTACTCTTCCTGCCCCCGACGGCGGCTTCCCTCCTGGGGCCTTCATTCCGGGCATTGGCGGTGGTGGTGGTGGCCCTCCAGCGCCGCGTCCCATGGGCGGCATGGGCGGTGGGGGCGGTGGAGGGGGCATCGTGTCGTGTCGCGATCCGAATCGGCGGTGATGGCTTCTTTATTAGCGTGGATGTTTGCAGTATGTGACTGTTTAAATGGTGTCGCGTGCAAAGAGTGTCGTGTTCGAGTCTTCGTCTCTTCGTTGTAGAACATTCCGTCACAGGCGCTTGGCACTCGGCATATTATCCTCAGCCACGCCAGCCCGCGTCACCGAACTTCACCGCAACGGCCACACGATGAAGCCTGGACGCCTGCCATTGCGCGCCCAGTCGCGGCCCGTGTGCCAATTGTGCGACTACATACGGCAGCAGTTGGGCAGTCGCCGCGTGTTCCTGTCAACATCGACCCTCCAGGCACCCTTAATACGGCGGCAAACCGCGCGGCCACAACCCTTAGCACCCCAAATACTTTTACGGAATATTACGACGACTACGCGAAAGTCAGCAGTGGCAGAGGCTAGGGACGATGGGGGTGTGCAAACATCGGACCGGATCGTTGCGCTGAAGACGAAGCTTGCTGGGGTGGAGGCTCGGATACGGGAAATATATCATTCACCAAAAGTCGAGACGGAAGCCGTCATACTCGCGGCATTGGATGGTCTGGAACACGTTGCACAGCAAGCGATAGCGATACGGTCACGGCAGCCCCTGCCAGCAAAGGCATCGATAAGACAGAGCTCGGCGGGCGCAATACTCTCCGGCCTGGGGAGCGAGGAGAATGCAAGGGACGAACGGAAGACTAGATCGAAACAGCTAGGACTCGACGCCCTCCCTTCACCCTCATATATCTCCAAAATTGCCGAGGACCTCATCAAGCACGAGAAAGTATTCCTCTCGCCCAACGTCCTCGCCGTATACATTCACCTTCAACGGCTCCTTGCACGCCCAAAGACCATCCCCGAGGCCCTCTACCTCTACGCCAATAAGCCTGTTCCGGTCGAAGGCTCTTCACCACCCAAGTTCTCGCGACCGTCCCCAAAATCTGCCAAACAAGCCATTCCCGCCGATCTAGCCGACGAAGCGCTCACGGCCGCAATTGACGCCAAAGACCTCTCTCTCGCCCTCGATGTCGTTGATCAGACATACCGCGCTCCGGCATGGCGACGCCACCGCATGATTACAAAGATGGGATTGCCGGCAACATTGATGGCCATCACCCCGCTCGCCTTGTACATGATCGCCCAGGAACTCTCTGTATACAGCGGCTACATCGACCCCTGGACATTCAAACTCTACGCTTTCGCCGGAATGAGTACGTACGTCATGTGCACGGGAACCCTCGGATTCGTCGCATTGACAACAAACAACGATCACCACGACAGAGTGGTCTGGAGACCTGGTGTTCCGCTGTTAGATAGGTACTTCAGAGAAGACGAGCGCGCCGCTTTGGACCGGATTGCATGTGCGTGGGGGTTCAAGGAGGTGTGGAAGAGGGGCGACGAGGAGGGCGACGACTGGGAGGGCTTGAGGCAGTGGGTCTTGCTAAGAGGCATGGTGCTGGATAAGCCCGACTTGATGCCCGGAATGAACCCTGGAAGGTGATGGGTCTCTCCTTTTGCCAGTATGTACAGCAGATAGCCCAATTCGAGTAGCATACTTTACACATGCACCACAAATTTACTTTGTAACATTCACAGTACTAGTATTAACCTATTCCTCTACGTACTACTTCTCTAAAGCAAAAGAAACAGCAGAGAAATCCCTCGTCATTCGAGATCGTCGGTTGAGCAAAAAAAGAATTATCGCGACACCTGTGTGATTCGAACACACGCTCCCGAAGGAACTGGCTGACTTTCCCTTTTGAGGACTAGCAGGCCAGCGCGTTAACCACTCCGCCAAAGTGCCCGAGGCATGGTTGCTTGATTGATGGAAGAACTTGCTTTCTGAGAAAATATATCAGTAACGTTTTTAGAAGGAAAGGGCTATCGGTGACGTTCTCGAATCACGAATAGTTGAGAGGTATAGATGGAATTAGGAGATAAGGTGGAGTCATAGGTGGCACTGTTGCACGGTGAGAAGGCGGGGCTTTGAGGCTACCCCGCTAAATCTTGGATGGCCTGGAGCCTTGCGTTTGGAGTTCGGGCTTCGAACATAACGACTTCACTTCTATTCTACACCCATTAAACTCTCACGAAACCCCACTTCACCTCTGCGACATCATCACTCGAATACAAATACCACTGCTAGCTCAAAACTACGCAAGCCGGCGCACACTTGTACGGCACACAGGTAAGTGGGGAAGCAGCGACTGGAGCTTTTGCGACCAAGACAACACTCAGGAACCATCACTAACACACCCAGACCCAAATCCAAAAAAACAACCATCGCCTGCAGGTCTCACCATCAAACATCTCCTCACAATCACCCACCATGTCCGCCGGCGCCGCCCCAATAACCTTCACCCGCTTCTCCGCCGCCCTCTCTGACCTCTCCGTCGAGTCCCTGTACGCAAAATACTCGGAGCTCACAAACCAACTCACACACCTCGAGTCCAGCAACAAGCAGCTCGAGGAGTTTGCGCGCGAGAACGACGACCGCGACTGCTATGAGGCGCTGCTCGAGAATCGGGTGGTTATGAAGCGGTTTGAGGAACGAAAGGAGTTGATTAGGAATGAGGTGCAGGATGTGCGGGGGTTGCCTTGGAGGCCGAGGGAGGAGGAGGGGAAGGTGGGAGAGACGGCTTCGACGAATGGTGCGATGGTGCATGAGCAGACGAATGGCACAGGGTCAGAGGGCGCGGACGGGGATGATGGCGTACATCTGTGAGGCAAGTGTGGAGATACGGTCATGGCATTGAACATCACAGGCGACTCTGCTTCGAGGGAATAATGGAGAGGACGCAGGCTCATGTATTGAGCTGGGCCAAAGGTCGAAGATCACAGCAAGCGGACGCCCCATGGTCTCATATCACAAAAATGGGTACGTGTCCTGAGTCTCATCGTTACGTTTCCCACGGCTCACAAATCCGCAGTATCTGGAAAAGGGGCAATCGTAAACGTAGGCCTTGGGGCAGATGCTTGAGGAGCGAATTGCTCGCTTTCGTGTTTACATAAAAATTTGCCTGTGAGGCTGATTGGAGATACTAATCACAATTCGTGTGTTGATGTTTGAAGACGGTGTAACCAGTGTGTTACGTGTAGCTACTGTGTCAGGACAGATGTTAGCGCGCCGCGGATCATGTTGCCGATTAGCACGGATTAGCTGCTGGTGTGATCGACGCAGCGCAGTACCGGTTAATCTGGCCTATGAGTGAAACCCCGAATCTATTTGGGAGGCGGTTGGAGGTGGCAATACTTGCCAAAATCAGCATAGCTCCGTGGCCAATATCAAACTCAAATCCCTACTTTATCATCCATGCAGTGCCGTAGTTATTGTATACTGTCTTGATGTTAGAATCTCTGCATGCTTTGAAAAAGCCTAGTTATATTGCATTATTTGCTGCAAGACAACAGATTGCAACTTGCTTGTTGAATACGGTTATTGCTCTGCAACATAAGGGCTTTGCTTTGTGTGCTACTCTTGCTTAGTAGTTATGCCAGACTCAGGCCTAGTAATGCCCAAGCTGACACAGAGCAGGAAAGGACCTAGGCTAAGGAAAGACCCTATGCCAAATGAGAAGGCCCTAAGGAGTTTAAGACAGATTCCCTATACTTAGGAGAGGAAGCTTTGTGTAATCAAGTGGTTACAGGATCCTATTAACTGGCATAATGTTACCTGGAGTACAACTCAAATAGAGCAGACCCACAATGGTCAGGAAGTTGCAAATGGTTTGAGACCACTAACAGACAAAGAGTTGGACAATTATTAGAGGCTCTGCAAGGACACAACCTCTTGGTGGTGAAAATAGCGGGTTGCTATACTTGAGAGCAGTCACAAGAGCTTTAAGAATGTGTGTGTATTATAGGAGAAATGGCTCCTCCTAGAGGCTGTTGTATATAGTTTATTTGTATTGAGGCAAAAGGAATGCAAGTGGGTTACCTGGCATTGGTTCAGACATACTACTATTGTCCAGTTTAAAGAGTTGTACCCAGACAAAGCTTTAAAACTACTAGATGAGCGCTTTCCCTTTACTTATGGATGGTTCTGGGGCTTCTGTAAGCGGTACAGCATTTGTCTAAGACGGGTAACAAAG